TAAGAGTTAAAAGTGCCTCCTATTGATTTTAATTCCATATGAAAAGGACTTCATTGGATTTCACAAGTGATGGTAAGTTTTATCTAACGCCAGATTAACATCTTATTTTATAGGAAGTGACCCAAAAAATCTTGGAGGCTGTAGGGAATGTTGCTGGTTCTTCTTTGGAACAGACTAGCTGGCTGAGCCGGAACTTGGAAGTGAAAGCTCAGCCTCAGATTTTGCCAGATGAGTTCAACACTGAAGATGTGAATGGTAATGTGGTTTTGTCTGACTTTCCACTGCTTTCTCTCTTCTGCTTAAGTCAATAAAGAGTACAATGTGTTAGTGTGTAGTTTGCTTGAGAAGGAAGTAATACAGATAAAAAGTAAAAATACTCATTGTCTTCCAATAGCAATGCCAGCCTAAGTGGGTTTAGTAAATACTATACATGGTGTGTAATACAGAGGAAAACTTATTTTAGGTGCATTCAATACGTGGGACAGAATAACACAAAGCATGAAGTATGCTACTGTGGTGAGATACCCAGAAGCATTTCTATGTAATACCAACATGCAAATAACAGTTCTGTTTGGGAAGAAAATGGATCAACAGCAAAATTTAAACATGTCTCGTCTGAAGTGAAAACTATATGATTTTTGCCTCCTGTAGATACTTCAGTGGCACCCTCATCAATGGTTTCTGCTTCTGCCCCTTCAATATACAGTGTCCAAGCTCTTTCACTCCTTGCAGAAGTAAGTAGGATCCTGCATTGCAATTGCTGTTCTCATCTATAGTTATGTATTTTTATAATTGAGCAGAGGAATACATCAGTTTTTTCTGGTAGAGTGTGTGGGGGTTTAGATCTTAATGAGGCATCCCACACACATCCACATCCTATCTTGAAACACAGTGTGCTTTTCCCCTTTGTCAGAGACAACTGCTATAGGTTTAATGAGACATTAATTTTATTTTTAAGGTTCTTGCTTCTCTTTTGGACATGGTTTACCGAAGTGATGAGAAAGAAAAAGCCGTGCCATTGATTTCCCGTTTGCTATATTATGTATTTCCTTATCTACGCAACCACAGGTGACTTCTCTCTCTGTATATCTGATTTTTCTGAAGTTTAATTTTGACCTCATTACAGACTTTTGCTTTTTTTCCTTCTCAGGGGTACTTAATAGTTGATAAAGTATCATAAAGTTGATCTTTTACTCAAGAGAATTCTCAATCTCACTAACAAGTGAATGTTTCTGTTACAAGACCTGTAAAATTCCTGTACTCGGAGACTGCTGTTCTGACCATTGCTCTAATGAATTAAAATTCAGGGTAATACTTGATGGCTGTGTTTACATTAGAAATTTGGTTTCAGCAGTAGTTTAGTTTTGAGGTGAATCCCATGATTGTCTCCATTTGTGAAAAGCAGAGTTCTCAAACCAGTTTTGGTGCGTGAATTAAATTCCTTTTGGAGGAAACTAGCAGAAAGTCCTCTGCAAGTGCGACCCAATAGGGCTTACAAATTCCTGACTGCACTGCCAGGAGGAGATCTAGAATATATGTACCACGCTTACCAGTGGAAGTCTGTTAAACTTGGGACATCCTGAAGCAGTTCTTGCCAGTCAGATAATCCTACTCTTTTATTTGCCATCCACCATGATCCCTCAGATCTTCACTGCAACTACTTGTTTTGCTGCTGTTGTTTCCTTATCCTTTTGTTCTTCTTACACGTAACCATTTCTTACTTTGTCTGCCCAGTTGCTTTTTTCTGTTGGTGAAAACTATTGCTTTTATTGTCATTTACTATCATTGCTTTTTAATTTCTACCAATCTGCCACTGGTGAGTCTTCTCTGTGAAGTGTCTAAACATCTGTTGGTAGTCTGAATGAGGACCAGGACAGCAACTGGAGATAAGGAACAGCCAAGCAGACATGCACTCGCTGTAGAGAGCTAGAGGAAATCTTCAAGTCACAGCTCACTGTCAAGCTCGTGGCCTATTTCAAGTCTGAGGGTCACCATGCAAGTAGCATCCAGAGGCACTAATGTCAGACATGCTGACATGTCACTGCTGCAACAGAGCTCTGAACCCTTGTCACGTCCTAACCTTATCCAGCAAAATTCTGTGTCAGGAGGCATTCTGAGCACTGGCTGTGGGCAGAGAACAGCCATAGTGCTGTGTACATCCCCTGAAAGATGCAGGCCTAGGTCATGTTTCATACTGGATGGTCTGGGGTATGGCCTGGAGCACACTTAGAGCACATGCTGACAGAAGTCCTTCTCTGTGCTCAAAAGCCTTATCCTTGCCTCCTTGAGAAAAGCTGGAGGTTCAGGGGTGGGAGGCCACAGATAATAGACTACTGTGTTTCTTTCACAGACTCTCAGGCTGATAGGTTTCCTCTTTTCTTGTCTGCAGTGTCTTCTGAGGAGGGAGATGCAACAGATCTGGTTTCCATGCTGCTGCGGTGCAGTATGTACTCCAGAGAATTATTTCGGAGCACTCAGAGGCTAGGACTGCACTGCAAAGGGAGGAAAATACCAGAGGCAATAGTGGAAAGGGATCTGCATGATGCTTGCATGATACCAGACTGGCGAAGGCTTGCAAGCAGGAGGCTCTTAAGAGCTGGGAAAATGACAGCCTCTGCAGGAATGCCAGTGAACTACGTTCCCTGGCTGCGGCTGCTGCACATCTGACTGGAAGTAGCGGCTTTGCTTGCTGCCAACTGCTGATCCCCAGCACTCTTTCATGGCTGATGCTTGGTCAAACAACAGCCCATTTATGTGTGCAAGGTTATAGAAGGGTGAGGTAGGGCAAGAGACAAGGAGATTTTAAGGCCCTTTCCTGTTCTCTCTGTTCTCGTAGGATGTTGTGCTATTTAGGCAGTGTTAGCCAATATTAGCTAATATTTGTGAATGTATAGACACTGTAGACTTTGTTTGCCCACAGGGAAAGATGCCTGGTACTGTTTGTCCTCCCACCTATTCCCATTCTAGAGAAGTTACATTCCAGTGTAACTTTTTTGTCCCCATAGGAGCAAAAGGAGGGAAAAGAGAATACTGTCTTCGTGGGGAGATTTACTTCCCATGTTCTAGGGTCTCATAAGTCAGTCCTATTTCATCAGTCTTCTTCATGCTTCCCTTTCCCCTAAACTCTCAGTGCTATTCACAAATCTCTTAAAAATCAAATGAACTTCCTTCTTCTAACAGCTCTCTGCCAACTGGCAAGAAGCAACCTTCTCTTGCTTACTTTTTCTCCAGCGAACACTGGACAGCTGTTACTGTTGTAGCTATTGTCAGGCTTCAGGCTTCCCCTCCTCCTATCTGCTACTTTTTGGCTTCTACATTTTCCAAAGTAGGCCAGTATATACTGAAGTGTGAGTGAGATCACAGCCACAGTTCAGGGGAGATTGTCTCAAGTATTATTTAGGTTGCAGTCAAAACCACTAGGCAGTATGCAGTACAGAGCCAAAAAAAAAGAGTATGAAGGATCAGGAAGATACAACCAGAATAACCAGGCATGTCTACAAGGGGTGATGGGTTGAGTGTTACTAGGAAGTGAGGAAGTGAAGCCAGCAAGCCTGAAAGTGCAGCAGGGTACGAAGATTTTTCCATGCTCCAGGGAAATGAATCAGAGTGAAGCACAGAAATTTTGGGAAGCTCTTCTCTATTAATTTATTTGTCATTTTCTACTGTATTTACTACAATCTACTTAACCTATCAGCAAGTCATTCAGATTCTTGATGTATGAAATGCATGCCATCCTTGTTGACCACAGGCATATACTACTGCACAAGTAGATCATGTGCTTTTGCTATTTGCAATACCTAAAGAAAGTCCTGTATATAGCCACCACGGAAACTGTTCTGGAAATTACAGCATCATGCTGAGCTTGCTATAACCCAAGCACTCACTCCATCTCTGCTCCACTGCTATTAGGATGTCCTTGTGAACTAATGCAGGGGCTAATGACAACTTCTGCAAGGGCAAGGGAGGTGATTGTCTCTCTCTACTCTCTTTCCTCATGGGGCCCCAGCTGGAATGCTGCGTACAAGTTTGGGGCCCCTAACACCAGAAAGATGTGGAGCTTTTGGAGAGGGTCCAGAGGAGGGCCATGAAGATAATCCAAGGGCTGGAGCACCTCTCCTATGAAGATAAACTGAAGGAACTGGGCTTGTTCAGCCTGGAAAAGAGAAGGCTGTGGGGAGACTTCATTGCGGCCTTCTAGTATGTAAAGGGATTTCATAAACATGAGGGAAATAATTTTTTTTATGATGGTAGATAGTGATAGGATAGTGATGGTTTTAAATTAAAGGAAGGGAAATTCAATTTAAATGTTGGGGAAGTTTTTACTGAGAGAGTGGTGAGATGCTGGAACAGTTCCCCAAAGAGGTTGTAGATGCCCTGTCCGTGGAGGTGTCAGAACAGCTGCCATACCCAGGATTTCTAGGAAGCTATTTGACAGGCATCAGTTCATCAAGGGTCTCTTCTCCTTGCTCCAACCACGTTAGGCTTGAGCTCAGCACTCCTTCCCTACTGTACCTTGCAGAACCTGTTGACTAGTTTGTGAACTTTCTTTTGGGGAAGATTTGAATCACGCATGTAGTTGAGGTGGGCAGTGCCATGATATGTCTAATGAGAAAATACCACCCCATACAAGGTACTCTGAAAATGTGAGGAATTTCTGCAGAAAATGCTTTGATCAACTGATCTGCGACTGCTCTGAATTAATGAGCTGATGTAAACACAGCCTATTCTGTTTCTGAGATAATTTAGTTAGAAGTTCTCCAGAAAACAGTTAATTTTCCAGTTATGCAAATGTAACTTTTAAAAAGATTGATATTTATCATTACTTTTCCTCTTCCCCCAGTACCTACAACATTCCTAGTTTCCGTGCTGGTTCTCAGTTGCTCAGCTCATTGAGTGGGTACGCCTATACCAAGCGAGCATGGAAAAAAGAAGTTCTGGAGTTGTATATGGATCCGGCTTTTTTCCAGATGGACACTTCATGCACTCAGTAAGACGTGAGATGGTAGCACTCCAAGAGTTTATTTGATGATTGCAAAGAAAGACTTAGAGACTAATATTGAATGGTCTCTGTAGTACTTGCTCACAGAATGTAGTAACATTAAAAACAGATCTCAACAAACTCAACTCAATTATAGAAATTTAAGTTATCTTTATGGCACAGAAGAATAAACCTCTCTCTTGCTAACAACTGCCATTAGTGTTTGGAAATGGCATATAATGGAGTTGAAGGACATAGAATTCAGTATGTGTAAACTGGATAAGGTTCTGCATAGTGAATTCGTGTTGGAAACTGTTGCCTAGTATGAATTGTTTGTCCAATATCTTTTTATGTGAATTCTACACCAAGGCTTTCTCTGGTTATCTGTCATGTCCTTTATATTGTTGAACTTTTACTTATCCAGTTCCTTCTTTGTCTTATCCAGTTGGAGATCCATTATTGATCACCTTCTAACACATGAGAAAACTATGTTTAAAGACTTGATGAGTAAGTATTAGCTACTGATAACTTATTTCTGCATTAATTTTAAATTAATTATATTTAAATTTGGTTCTGAGCTGTTTGGTGTCTAACGTGTCAATAAAATGCAGGCAACACTGCATCTGCAGAATTGATTACATGACCAACTTCATTCTCCACTAAAAACTGTTCTCAGTTCAGACTGTATTTTGGTAATGTTAACATTTTAAAAATATTTACTCCAGAAATGTTAGCGTTGGACTGCTGCAAGCACATTTGGCCGTTATTTTAAGTTGCTGAAAGGTGACTGTAGCACTGTTGCCTGTGAGAAAGCAAGGAGACTCCGGTTAACTTTGCATGCATCTGTATACTTGCACAGAGCTATGGGAATATGGTGCACCAGTACAGCAAGTCTTTGAGCAACATGCTCTGATCTCTAATTCAGGCTTGAGGACAATATGGAAGAAAAGTAATTGGAAAAGAGATGGGATAGGACCCTAACATTTGCCTGGAGCTTTGAAAGATAAAGCAGCTTTTGTCTCTTGTTGAAATCTTTTAAAAGAATAGTTGAAGGCTTACAATACAAATTTTAAGGCATTTTTTTTAACATTGTATGTTTTTAAATTTACCATTTTAGTTTTGTCTCAGTAAGAATTAAAAGTCTTGAAATCCCTCAGCCACGGTTTTAAGAGTCTGAGATGAGGAGACTTGTGCATGTTAGAGGCAGGGCTTTAAAGTTCTGGACAGCTGCAGAGTATGTTTTATATAATTCTCCTGCTAGTTTGAGTAGATCAGGATCGACACCAACATGTTACTCCAACCTGTAGGTATAAAGGTAGTAGTTATTTCTAAAAGATCTCAGGATACAGAAATTATTTTCATCTCAAGTCACTAGTCAGAAAAGAAGTAATTCTTATATGTGTTACAGATATGCAGAGCAGCGCCTTAAAGCTTTACCCAAGTTTTGAACAAAAAGCAATGTTGTTAAAGCGGCAAGCTTTCGCTGTCTTCAGTGGAGAAATCGATCAGTATCATCTCTATCTTCCCTTAATACAAGGTAAGATTTGTGGTCTTTTCCATTCAGCTCTGATATATATGTAAACATTAAAATTATAAAGAAAAAAAAAAAAAAGGAAGTACAACATTCCTTTCTTACATAATTTATTTCAGAACGACTGACTGAGAACCTCCGTGTTGGACAGACTTCTTTAGTTGCCTCGCAGATGTTCCTCCTCTTCAGAGTTCTATTGTTAAGGATTTCTCCTCAGCATCTAACCTCCTTGTGGCCAATTATGGTAACTGAATTGGTAAGGAATGAGTGATAACTTTAAAATTAGTTTCTCGCATTCTTTGCATTTCACCTCCTCGCAGATCCACCCCTGGATGGAAGGAAATGTTTTCATAGGTCTGTGTTAGTTTGATAATTTGGAAAAAGAAGCAACATTGTTATTAGGTGATACCTTTCTGATCAATGTTGCTGTTGTTGATAATGCAATTTCTTTCACAATTTCTTAACTTGTTTAAGAGTTTGGTGGCTCTGTACGTGGCAAGGGGGTTGGAGATTAATGATCTTTGAGGCCCCTTTCAACCCGGGCCACTATGTGATTCTGTGAGTAAACTAAGAGTCTGTGGTTCCTTATAGTATTTACACTAATATGTGAAGTGTATCTTTCTATAATTGAGCTGTTCAAATGATTCAGCCTTTCCATAAATTTATTTATTTCAAGATTCAGACGTTTCTACAACTGGAAGAAGAATTAACTGAGGAAGATGAACCATCAAAGTAAGAATTAACATTTAACTGATGAAAGCTTGTAAAACCTGCGAAAGCTGTTAGCAATTGTGCTTGTTCTGTATCTGCCTTTTTTTTTTTCACTTGTGTATTTCTGACACAGGTAAATCAGTATTTTTTTAAGCAGCAGAAATAGTTATAGTTAGAAAAAACTGGTACGTAACAGTTGCATACAAGAATACGAAAATCAGTGTTTGAATATTGAATATTTTAACATTGATTTTTTTTCTGAATACTTTAGATATCTTTCCATGTACAGCCTTCTATATAAATCTCAGTGTTAATACGGAATAAAAATAAGACTTTTGTGCACAGGTGCAAGTGCACATTTGTGTAAATGTGTACATTTCCCTTTTGCTGAATGGAAAACACTTGGTGGATTTATGTTTAATCGTGTGCTTCTCAATTTTTACTACCACAGAAGCAACAGCAAGTTAAGCAAACAGAAAGTCTCAGGTGATGGCAGTGGATCCGACATCCAGCAGAATGAGCTGTCTTTGTACTTATCTGCTTGCAAGTTTTTAGACACAGCGCTTTCATTTCCACCTGATAGGATGCAGCTGTTCCAAATGTAAGTCCTCTAGTTGCTTAACTGTTCTCCAGGTTGTTTCTGTACTTGTCCTTTAATATAATTCAAATATTACTTTCACCGTTTGTTCTTTCCACAAGTGCAGACTTCGATTCTAGAACAAAAGTAATTTGGGATATTTAGAAAGGCAATTCAGTCTTGTCAATGTAGGAAGATTTCACTTTATTTGAAGGCTATCTCACATGGAAAAATAGGGAGAAGAAAAAGAAGGACGGTTCTTTGTTTTCCCTTTGCCACACTTGGGAGTCTTTTGGAGGCAGTTTCATTTAAGTACTGATATAGTACTGAAGTAGTAACTTCCTAGTTCACGAAGTTTAGCTCTGGTAATAGCACAACTTTGTAATTATGACAGCTCTTTCTGTGAACAAATCAGTGCTTTGCTAACTATGTTTGATCCAAACAGGGAATTTTTTTCCTGTCTTCTCAGCAATGGAATCCTTTTGTTTTAGGTATAAATGGGCATTTGTCCCAGAGGTGGACACAGAGTCTTCTACTGTGACTTCTCATCTGGTAGAAAATCATCAGGAATGTAGACCACACATAATACGAATAATGGATCTGCTAAAGATGAAATACAGGGTAAAGAAAGTGCTTTACTTATTTTTCTTTTGTAAGCCTTTAACTTTTCTAAATCAGTGGTAAGACTGTAAGTTGGGCAAGAGGTTTTTAGATGTTAAGATTCCATATGGTTTTAAAAACTATCTGCCTGCTTTCACAAATGTATCTTGAAGATTCCAGTTTTCTTTTGCATGTGGAGTGTCAGGAAGTTTACCATAAGACCATTTAAAATTGCCATTAAGGTTTAGTATTAGTACTTACAGAAGAATACATTAGTATTTATCAGGTACCTTTACATTCTGCAGCTTTCTGATACCTGCTTCTGAAGGCTTGTCCAAATTTCCAGTGTTCTGAAACTGTGGGACTTTCATTTAACAGAAGCTCAAATCTGAAAATAGAAATAACTCATTATACCATCTATACAATTCATATTGCGATGGAATTGTAGGCTGTGGACCTCTCAGTATAAAACCAAGTGTATAATACAGGCTTCAAAGGAGCCATATTTAGTAGGATATTGTGTCTTAATGCAGTAAGTAAATCTTGGTTTGCATGTTTACAGGAAAGAAATAACACCGATGAGGGAATTTCCAAAAAGCACAAATTTCCTCTTTTGAACTTCCGCTCTATATCTAGCATTACCCAGCTCATGCCCTTCTTCAAGACACTGTGTTGTGCATTTACAACAAAAGGGAGTGAGGAACACAATTCACATTCTTCTGCATCTCTCTCTGCGGACTACGTTGGCAGCAATGGCATAAGGATCTTGCAACAGCTTGAAGAGAGTGTTGAATGTGACTTCCTTGAAAACATGGAAAGTTAGGCTGCATATCAGACACTTATGTGGTTAAGCAGCCAAAAAAGAAAGAGAAAACATTACTGCAATTCTTTTTTTTTTTTTCCCCCCATTTTAAAACTACGTTTTAGGTTTTCTTCCAGCTCTTATGGGATGTACTTCAATAATTCAAGCTTCCCAGTGGTGATAAAAAGCAGGATTCTTTGTGTTCTGGGGAGGCAGGAAGGAGGATGTACAGCTTGGTGGTAATTTACCACTGTTACTGTATTCTTTTACTTCTTTTCCTTGTGAAGGATTAAAGAGATTTGTAAATAATGGTAGAAGATTTTTAACTTGGTGAAAGTAGCAACTGTACCATTTATCCAGTAATTTCTCAAGTAAGTATTTTACACTACTTTTGGAACCGTGATCTGAAAGTAAATTTGCATGTCAGTGTACAATCAGTTTGCAGAAAAGCCATGTCTTGAAGTTAAAACCCCCCTTCTATTTCTTCTTCCTTTAACTGATCCTAAAACTTAGCATCTTGTAAACAGGTAATTTAAGTTTCAAACAGATCTATTTTGTAAGCCTTACTACGCAAAGAACTGCAGACTTATCACGTTTGTAATTTCAGCTTTGTATTATAAGAGTGCTCTTCAGGATGAGTGATTCCTAAATAAAAGACATGTACATGAGCAAATGACCAACCTATGCAGTAACATTTTATAATTTACACTACCTTGAGGGCTTTTCATTTTAATTAGCTGACTAATCAAAGAATATTCTAATCCTGTTCTTAAATGAAAGAACTTTGTTCTTTCAGTGGCTAAGATCATCTCGCAACTTACGAAATGCAGTTAAATGAAGATAATCCTGTGAAAATATAAATTACTGTAAACCCCCAGCCTAATGTGAAGGAAAATTCATTTTTTAAGAAACACTTTTTATTCAAATAAATGTATTTGGCTGTTCCTACGTATTATAGGAGGAAGGGATGTCATTCACAGTGCCATGACTACGATAGTGTTCAAGGTGCAGCTTCTTTTGGATCTGCACTGCTTCTACCATTCAGGACCTGGAAGAGACAGTGATTAGTTGTGCTACCATACAGTGAAGCTGCTTGTCTGAAGGACACTTCTGACAGTTAGTGGATAAGTACCACCATAGCCACACGTACACCAAAAAGCTTAGATGAACGTTTTTTCCATGAGGAGGTGGACTCCATTGAGGTTTTGATATTGGGTTTTCTGACTGGATTTGCAATGCTGATTTCTTTGGAAGGGAAAGTTTATCATAGTTTTCATGATGAAAAGCCTTGTCTGCTTCTTTATTTAAACAATGTTGCCTCCACAGAAGTGGAGTTGCAAGACAAAGCTGCAGACTGGCACTTGTGTTATTTGAAACATCTCAACCGAGGTAAACGTGCTTGGTGTTGGACTTCCATCATTATTGGTGTTTTTTTCCTAATTAAAAAAAAAAAAAAAGATACTAAAGGACATGCCAAATGAATGGTTTAATGTTAGGTTGTGAGATCAGGGATTTTTATTTATTTATTTTTTTTTTCAAAACTCACAAGAAATATGGAAAGTTATTTGGCAGTGTTTTTTACCTACAGATGTATGAATCCATCTTTGGATTATAAACTAAAATAATGAAATGCTAAGCAACATGCTTTACAACTGTAATACTGTTATGCTGTATGAAGGTAATGTGATAGACTTGTGCTAAATTTAAAGTTCCTGTGAATTTTGACTGTTAAGGAAAGCGATAGAATGAGATGTGATACTGTGTAGTACTAGGGATGTGAATTATTTGTATTAATATAATTTATTAACTACCTAATGCTGTTGGAATAAGCACAAATGGAAAAAAAAATCCTTTTTAAGCATCACTTGAAAATTTGAACAGGATATTTTTAAATAATTTTGTCAGTTGCTTACATAAGCTCAAGGATTTTCTTTTTAATAATATTGCTAATACTCAGGATGACCTGGTAGTTTGACTTTTAGCTTTCTGATGAGTGGTTGCATTCCATGCTTAGGGACTACTTTTAAAATCATGAGATGGTATTGAATTGCTGTTAACAATCTAGGACAACTTTCTGCTACTAAACTTTTTGCTTTACATTCTCCTCTGAGGTCTAAACCTATGTTTTCACTTAGTTTACTCGCTAACAAAAGGTGATAAAGCACTAACTTAGATGGTTCCCTTTCCCATTCCCTTTGGAAGCGAATGTCCCATTCTATCTGTCAGGGCTTCAGATGTGCATGAGATCAAACATCACCATCCCACCACCCAGAATGTGGTGGTAAGCATTAAAAATTGAATCTGTGACTGAGCTGCTTGGAACTCTAAGATGATCTTACCTTCTGCAAAAATAGCACTTGCTTCTCTCTTGCCTTCTGTGTGTGCTTTTGCCTTTGCTCTGTGATTCTGCAGATTGCTGCTTTAAGTGGCCTGCACATCTTTTATCATTATAAAAAGGGTTCTGAACAAAAAAGGGTTCTGAACAATTGAATTAGTCTTACTTGGATGGCAGAGACTTGCCACTGAATATGCTTAAAGGTATCGTTAACAGCTTAATTTCATTCCTTTTGTACACGGGACTCACTTTAGCTACTTTAATTCTTACAGTACTGCATTTAAATCCATCTGAAGGAAGATGGTTGTACTACCAAAGCAGTACAACCTCACTGTAGATACATCTGATAAACTTTTGCTTCAAACTCAGTAGCAAGAGCTGGAGAGAAAATGCCTTTGCTGTGTGATGTAGTTTTTGCTTGTTTTCAAGCTTAGTTTTCTCTTTTTCATACTTCAGCTTTGAGACAGCATAGCAACAGTGCATGATACATAGAGGGAGAAGTATTTAATTATTCACAGAGGTTTCCTTTTCCTGAAGGGAAGAAAAATACAGTTGGTGCAACCAAGATAACTGCCAAAGAACAGCAGAACTTTAAATACGGAGCATTAAATAATGGCTAATTGTATTCAATGCTACATTTGAATGTAATTCTAATAATAATATTAAATGTTATTTTTGAAATACCTCTTCAGCTGCAATTCTCATTTTCAGACTACTGCTGATGGATTGTCTTTTTCTCTGATTCTGTAAAAGCTCTCAAATTCGATCTCAATGCATGAAGGCTTCTGTGCAGAGCTCCAGACCTTATCTGGGTCCCTGCAGCTGTGGCTGCGTGCCTGCCCATACATCCCCATCTGACAAGGCTGCACCATCCCCCCTGTCTTATCTCCCACCCTTCCTGTTGCATGAAGTCTCTTCATCAGAGACTTCTGAAGTTCATACTGATGCTTTTGTATGTTCTGGGCAAAAGCCCTGATAGTCCTGCCATTTTCATTTGGGGGGGAAGAGAACTCTTCATTCAATTTGGCTTGAAGTTCAAATGCCAGAAAAGTATGGTTTCAGTGACCCTGATGAATAAGCTATTTTCATATTTCACCCTTTCCCCTGAGTCTTTGTGCATCTTTTTAAGGTTATGCAGTGTATCTCACACCTCACAAGCAGGTAATATTTAGTTATATTTTGAAAATGCTTGCAATATGTTGCATGTATTCTGGGAAATATTGTAGCATAGTACAAATAGTATTAATTTAGTAGCATTAAAGTACTCAATGCCTGTTGAGTACCTGCTTAGTCAAATAAAGATCACCAGGTTTGGCAGTAACAGAACACATCCATGATTTGCAATTACTGTCCCAAAGCAGCTCCCCGACTTACTTATTCAATGCTGGTTGTCTCCTGGCACTCGGCAGCAGAGCTTCAGGAGGAGCCCTTGGCAGAGGTGAGTGCCCAGCAGACTAGGCCTTCTGATTTCATCTCTGCCAACAGAGCAAAGGGATGGTATGAGCAGGCAGATGGAAAGAAAGAGTTGATCAAAACTTGATGGTACTTTCAGGTAGGGGCTGATGTATGTTTTCCATAACTTCTTGAGCAGAGGCTTGTAAGGTTTTGATCAGCATGAATTACTGTACCTCAGGCTTTTAGTTCGAACTTTTTATTTTACACCACCTGTATCTTTGGTTGTTGGGTTGCTTTTTTCTCTTTGACCTCCACCAAAATAAGAGCTGCTTTCTAGTAGGAGAAAACTGAGATGACAGGATTGAAAAATTGGAAGAATAAGAAAGGAGATAGAGAGGAACATGTAGTGTAGTTATAATAGACAACGGGGAGCTTCCCAGCTGTAAATACATATATGAAAATAATCAAACCCCACAACTGTCTCAGGTCTTTCACAAAGAAAATAGTCTGGACTCAAGGTAACTGTCCATTGCTCAAAATACGTGCAGATAGTTGAAACGCAATAACTTTAATGAAACAGCTGACAGATTTTGTTCTGTGAGTAAACAGGATGTGAAATATGAATTTTGTGAAATATGCACCTTGCTGTAGATGTTACTTAGCCAACTTGGGAGAACACAGTACTAAGTCTTCAGTGAGGGAGACTCTAGTTACTCCTGCAGTCTCTTTTCTTAGTGGTGTGATTTATATGGGGAAAACTGCCAACTCATTAATAATGGCACTGGAATTTGACCTCAGTGCTGTCTTTGAAAAACACATAAGAAATCCACTGGAAAAAGGGAAAGGGAATTGTGCAATCTTTATTGTGCAAGTGTATCTGACATAGCAGCTGCAGTTAGCAAAAAGAGTCAAAGCCCTTTGATTAAACTTTAAGTTCTTACCTTGCGTTCTGGCGTTTGCACCTGAGCAAACAGTTACAAATCTCTGACATTATGTGTTTTGGTTTTTTTATTCCTACAAATGATGTTACCAAATACTCAGAATTACAATTTCACTTGGATCACAACAGAAGCAATCCACTACTACAGCTGAAAGACAAAACAGAGAAGCAACGTCAGCCCCTGCTGTTAGGAACTCTGCCCACGTAGAGCAGTTACACATTTATGTAGCTTTTGGTTATGCATCTCTGAACTGTCAGATAAGTAGGAGTACAGTAAATAGCAAAAGAAAACAATAACATTGGGATTACTTCATGTAAGGAGGAATCTGCACAGACAAGTAAGAAAGCTTGAGACGACAGTACATCTTCTTACAAACAATTCATTCCTGTATTACTCAAAGGCTCCCCAGGTCATGCTGTTGTGCATTTCTTAGTTGGGAAGATTGATAAAGGTAATGCTTTGTGAGCCCTTTACTTCTGAAGTGTGCGGATTTCCTTTCTCATTCAGGGACAAACTGACACTGAAAATGAAAGGGCCAGAAACAGATCTCTTTGCTTCCATTTCATAAAATCACAGAATGGAAGGAAGCTCAAAGCCCATCCATCCCAACCCCTGCCATGGGCAGGGCTGCCCCCCACCAGCTCAGGCTGCCCAGGGCCCCATCCAACCTGGCCTTGCACACCTCCAGGGCTGGGGCACCACAGCTTCTCTGGGCAGCTGTGCAAGCGCCTCACCGTCCTCTTCAGTAATTTTTTTTTTTCCCCCTGCTATCTAAATCTCCAGTCTTTTAGTTTTAAACCATTCTCCCTTGACCTCTCAACTACCAGACCACGAAGAAGTTAATTTCCCTCCTGCTTATAAGCTTCTTTTAAGTACTTAAAAAAAAAAAAAAAAAAAAAAAAAAAAAACCTGTAATGGGGTCTCCCTGGAGCCTTCTCCAGGCTGAACAAGCCTAGCTCCCTCATCTTGTCTTCACAGGAGAGGTGCTCCAGCCCTCTGAGCATCTTTGACCTCCTCTGGAACTGCTCCAACAGTTCCACTTTTTTTTATGCTGGGCTCCAGACCTGGATGCAGTACTCCAGATGGGGCCTCATGAGGGCAGAGCAGAGGGGAACGATCCCCACCCTCTTCCCATTGCCCACTCCTCTTGTGATGCAGCCCAGGATACTGTTGGCTCTCTGGGCTGTGTGCACACTGCTGCCTCATGTCTAGCTTTTCATCCGTCAGGACACCTGAGTCTTTCTCCGCAGGGCTGCTCTCAGTGCATTCTCCTCCCAGTCTGTGTTCATAACTGGGATTGCCCCAAATGCAACACTTTGCACTTGGCCTGGTTGAACCTCATTACGTTCCCACGGGATCACTTTTCAAGCCTGCCCTCTGGACGGTGTCCGTTCTACTGTACGAGCTGCACCACTCAGTTTGGCGTCGTCTGCAAACTTGCTGAGGGTGCACTCGATCCCACTACCCAGCTCACCGATAAAGATGCTGAAGAGCACTGTCCCGGGACGGACCCCTAAGGGACACGACCTGCGTCCGACCCCACCTGCACGAAGACCTATTCACCGCAACCCCGCGGCTGCGACCATCCGCCAAACTAATTCTCCACCCACCGATCCGCGGGGCCGCCCGGGACAAGAGCCCGCTCGAGCCCCACCCCCAGGCGTGGCCGGTGAGCCCGCGCATTTTTACCTAAAAAAGAGAGGGAAGGCAAAACACAACAAACCCGCCCCCTGCGCGGCACGCCAGCCTCGCCCCACCCGCTCTCCGCGCCTTTGGACGGCCGCAGGCGATGGCCCCGCCTCCCCGCTGGCTGCCGACCTGCGGCAGCGTGTCGCCCTCTCCCCCCCCCGCCGCCGCGCACTCATCTGTGCGCGCGGAGAGGGCGTGGCCTTACCCCTAAGCCCCGCCCCCTCCCGGAAGAGGTTGAGGCTGGCGGCGGAAGCGCGCCGGGAGGGGGGCGAGGCGGATGTGCGCGCTCTGGGCGCTCCCCGACGCCCCCATTCCCCGCTCCTTCCCGCCCCGGCTGTCGCTGCGGCACAAAAGATGGCGGCGAAAACTCAGGGCGGCATTCGCCTCAGCGCGGTGAGCGCCTCAGCGCGGGGCCCGGTAGCGGTGGAGGGGTCTCTGAGAGGCCGGGTGGCCCTTACCGAGGGAGGAGGAGGCGGAGGAGGAGGAGACGGAGGAGGAGGGGCGAACCGGGGTGGCTGCGCGGGGCCGCGGAGGCTTGAGGGAAGGTCCCGCTGAACGCCTCTGGGAGGAGGAAGCGGGCGATTGGACGGCGGCCGCCGTTCCTTAGCCGAAGCGGGAGGCTGCAGGGCGGCTCGCTGTGCCCGGGGGCCGGGCCTTTGCGGGAAGGCAGCTCCAGTCGGGCTTGCAGCTGCTCCCGGCGGGAGGTGGCCTTTACAGCCGAGGCCGGTAGGGTGGGCGCCGCCAGATCCGCTGCTGTGCTGTGCTGCTCGGCCTCCCGTTGTTCACTGCCGTCCTTCTCCTGCAGCCGATCTCTTCTTTATTTACTCTCGGTGCGAGCGGGGTTACCTCTGTTCTTTCAGTTTCTCAATACGCCGTGGCTGAAACTGGCTATTTTCGAGGGACTTTCTCGTTTGTATGGTTGTACGCCTCTAAGCAACGCTAGCAACGCAAACACGTAGCTTGGGGCCTTGCTTTGGAATCTGGAATTAAGTGGTGGGGGGAAGCTGGATCCTTACAGGAAAATAACTGCTCAGGTGTCGGGATGTAAAGCATACGTCACGTATTGGACTGGGTCATCTTTATGGGTCCCTTCCAACTCGGGATATTCTGTGGTTTATGGTGCTTCAGTGTGCCCTCAGCACTGCTTAAATTACCTTAATTTAATTGGCGTGATTGCAGAGATTACGTGTAAGTGTCACCTGTTTGAAGTTTGGGAATTGCACTTTCATTTCAGCATCTAAGTTCCTGATTTTGTTAGAGAAGGGCGCACCTGGCTTTTTAGATAACATAATGCTTTAAAAAAAATAATAATAATTAAAATCTGCCTTTGCATTTGAATGCGTGAGTAGTTTAATTTAGGGGAAAAGCATGCCTCTGTTAACATCTGTTGTGGGTAGCACGACTTGGGATATGATTTAAAATCTCTCTTGGGTTAGAAATTGCATTGGCAAACTTACAGGTCAGAAGTCTTAACTAGAATTGGTGTAGCTAACAGCAGTTGGTAGTTTTCTGATATATATTTAGGATGCTTTTTTTTTTTTTTGTCAGTAGTCATAACTTAAGATTTTCATTCAGTGTATTTCTAATTGCAGCTTTATTTATTTATTTATTTAGGTAGGTTTTCAGTACAGAGATGGAATAGCTGATAACAGTTGTTGTAGCAGATAACACCTTTCTATACCTTCTGACAATGTTTCCCAGCGAAGAGCAATGCAGAACCCGCTCTTGGTCTCTTCTGTCAGCCACTGCTCTGTGGAAATAAGTTGGGCTTCAACAGAACGTGTGCATTAGTTTCAGAGGCATGCAGGAACCACACAGGTGGTGTAAGCAGGCCTGGCAATTCATTCTTATTCTGGTGTTTATCTCTTGCTGTTGCTCTGGTAAAATGTTTGCTCATTTGCACCATGAGACATATTGTGAGAGTGATCCAGGTTAAAAATACGATTTAAAAAAAGGGTTGTAATTTGCATCAGATCCATGCTGCAGTTCGTTGTTGTGGTCGTGTAAGTATATCAGCATAACTGAAAGGGAGAAGGAAAGGAGAATGTAGTGGAAAGGGGACAAGCAGCCAGATGGAAGAAAAGCAGGAGGAGGAGAATGATAGTGGTGTTGCTCATCCAAAAGCTGCGAAATAGCTCTGATGGACAAGGCTGCTTGCTCAGTAGTTATGATTTGTGCATGAAATGATCCATGAGGGATGGAATAGTTCAGTTTTTCTTGGAAAACTGGAATTCCTATAGCTGCTGTTTTATTGTTAAATATTTACTGCTCATAATTATAGGAGATGCTCTGCCTGGTACAGTGAGGTTTTTCTGTCATCTGAGCTGTAGATACAGTTTGAAATTTACTTGGATTTTCAGAAGGAATTTGCTGCACTTCTCAGGATGCCAAATGGAATAGCTAACCAAAACCCACTCAGTGACAGAATATTTTTGGTCGGTGTGCAAAGCAGCTGGATCATCTCAACCACAGCCATACTGACAAAGCCAAAAGTGAGCATTCACGTGGGGATTAACACTCATACTGTATCCTTAGTACTGCATAACTCATAAAGCTAAATAGGCTTAAAAATTTCCTACCGAGTTCCACCTCAGTTGTGTTAGCAGCTGGATATGCTTTGAAGCAAGCTAGAGAGTGCCCTTCAACCACTCTTCCCCGTCTTCTTAGTCTGATTTTCTTGTGTATCCTTGTTTCACAGCCTCCCATTAGTAAATGATGCTATCTGCTGCAACTCTTTGAAAGCGGGACACAAGGGGAAATGGTGTTAAGTTGAAGGAGGGAAGATTTAGGTTGGATGTCAGGGGGAAGTTCTTTACAGAGAGAGTGGTGAGGTGCTGGAACAGGCTGCCCAGAGAGGTTGTGGATGCCCCGTCCCTGGAGGTGTTCAAGGCCAGGTTGGATGGGGCCCTGGGCAGCCTGGTCTAGTACTAAATGGGGAGGTTGGTGGCCCTGCCTGTGGCAGAGAGGTTGGAGATTCATGATCATTGAAGTCCCTTCCAACCCTGGCCATTCTGTCATTCTGTAGCTTTTCCTGTGAACTGCCCTTCAGGCTGCTCATCTTTAGCTGAGGGAGCTTTAGAGCCAAGAACCAATTTCTTAAAGATCTCATGTTCCAACTCGTATCTTCTAGTTTTGTATAACTGTTCACGTTCCTGCAGTTGGGTACCACATCTCAGCCTTTTTCACAACCTTACCATCTGAAACAGCAATCCAGGAGAGACTGGCAGAATTTTTATGTTTGTTTATAAAAGATGTTTCTTTTCAGAGTTAGTCACTGGTATGCAGCTGTGACACGAGGAATGGAGAGGCATCGCGTTATCAAGGCACTGCATGAGATTTTCTTGCTGTACTGATCCACACTTTGCCTCACAGAAAAGAGGACACAGCTCTGATTATGTCAGTCTCACAGATGCTGAAATTCTTTCTTTCCTCAGCGCTGTCTGAGCAGGGCAGGTTCACAACTACAAATTTGTGCCTTTCAAAACTACTTGTGGTCCTTTTTTCAGGTCTTAAGATCTGCTGAGCTGTCATATAGTAAACTGAAGAAATTGAAAGCTCCATTTAACAGGAGCTGTGGTGTACATGCTGTTTCCAGTAATTGGGCTCGATGTCTTAAATCCTAAATTATTTGTAAGCATCCATTAGGAATTTTTTAAAAAGCACAGTGACTTGGGCTGATTGAATTCACCGCAGTTTATAAAACAGTAATTTTAAAACACATGGCAGTAAAGAGTGTAGTGTCTGTCTATACTTGCAGTCTGAATTGGTGGAGAAATACCAGGGCTAACTTGCAATCCAAAAGTGTGTCTGGTCTCTCAATGACCTTTGAATCAAGGTGAGATTTCTTGGCAGTCGACGCTGCTGCAGCTTTGCTCCCACTGTGGCACCTGGTTCTGGAACTTGTTTGTAGCATTATTCTTTTCTCTGATAAATGATCTTGGGGACCCAAAGTGATTGCTTCCTCTAATTTAGTCCTTACTAATTATGTGAAAGTGATTGTCACAGTAGCAGTTGTATAAAATTGGTTCTGTGGATACATATGTGCTATTCTAAAATATTTTCCTTATTTTATATATGGTATGGATTATGTTTTCTCATGCACCTGTACTTCACGAGAGCTATTTCCAGCGTTGGATATTCCTAGATGCTTTTTATGCCATCAGTGTAACTGCACCAATGAGGCATAAGCATATATGTGCACTGCTCAAGAGCTTGTAAAAAGTGTAATTACAGATATTCTCTGCAAATACAGCTATACCAAGGTCAACAATTAAACTTCCCCAAACGTTGCATTGACAAATCCATAAGTTATGTGATTCCTAGTTCTGCTTTTCCTGTTCTTTTGATCTAAGTGAATGTATACAAACCTAGGCTTTCATAAATGACTTGAGAATACTTTTATCACTGACATCTATAAAATGTCACATAAATACATATTTTACTGTGCACGTTGCCATCTAGTCCCAGTAGTGCCTACATTCTTGTGGTTACATCTGATAGTAAATGAGGCTGAAATACACGAGCCTGAATTGCCAGCATTTACAGCTACCATTTGAAAGAATCTAACAGATCCCAGTAACAGGCAGTTTTGATCAATATGGGCAAAGGGAGCAGTGACATTAGACACTAAGTCACTGGGTGTATTAGGTGGGGTTTTTTTCCAGATTAATACTCATGGTTTAAAATGTACATTTTTAATATTTGAAAGCTTATGTTAAGTTTGTTACTTTTGGATGGAAGCACGGATGGGTTTTTGTAACTTCACCCTGGATCACAAACTGATGCTGTTGTTTCTGTTTTATTTCAGCTTTGCCCAAAGTTCCTGCATACCAACTCTACCAGTCACACCTGGCCCTTCAGTGCAGTTGCTGAGCTTATAGGTATGTGGATCACTAATATTTATGAAACTTTATCTCCAGCTGTGATTTTTTGTTCCATCAA